CTACCGACAATACCGATCGACGGCTTGTGCTGATTGAATCATCAGTAGATCCCGCAAGATGGAGCTAGACATCCATTACGTTGCGCCAAAGTGATTGAGCGGTCTCTTCGAAATCTTCGAAATCACGACAGATCCGCTGATACACCTATCTATATCGATGTATTCGTATATGTTGCGAAGTCTATTTTTTTCTCCACTCCAAGTTCTGAACTGAACTGGTGCAATAAGTTAGAGTGAAACAGATATAGGTGCACTCTTTAACTAATTCAGAACTAGTTCAGAACTCTTCGAAAAAGAATAGACCTTTAAAAGGTTCAGCGATACTAGTGTCAGTTATTTTAGTCAATGATGTCGGAAGGGAAAATTTTTCCGCAAATTATCTACGTAATTGTCCATAAATGATATTTCATTTTTCAACAATTAAATCGCTGTAATTTTTAATAAAACAGGCATCGATATTTTTAGACTAAAAAAATATCGAGCCAATTGATTTATTAATATAATATAAATGAATTAAATGTATACATGCAATTAAAATAGCTTGTTATATTTTCAAATCGTACATTATTTTGTAGACACCATCTATTTCTGTTTGCATATTCTCAGTTCGAATATTCTCATAGCAAATGGTTGTGTACACAAGTCTCAAAATAATAGTTCAATTATTATATAATTATACTTATTGCAATGAAGTAATTACAGATGCAATAAGTTAATTACAGAGAAGGGATAATTTTCGAGCAGCTTTCATTCTTAATAGAGATTTCTTGTAGAGGTCGATGTCGAAAAACGTATACTACGAATATCACGTCAAATACTACGCTTAAGCATATGAAATAACGCGCAGATATATCTGCAAAATCACGTTTCACATATGAATTTCAATCGATCCGCTTCTCATCGTTCACGCCACGTCGAAATGGTCGAAATGGAACGTCGTCGTTGACATTTCTGCGCATTTTATTGGCCAATATGAGGCGATGAACGTACTTTTTCTCAACGTCCGTACGAGATACCTCGAAGGCTTTCTTAATATAGTTCTTATTGGACAACGACAAATAAACTGGAAACTCGATGTTGAACCTCAGTATTAGATCACCCTTTTGCTTCGGATTTGCAGGAAATGGCATACCCTCACCCGACACACACTTGGTGTAATCTGGTCTATAAGATGTAATAAGTATGTAAAAGATAAGCGAAAATTTAGATAACTAGATTCATAAAGTTGTTTAACTTTAATTCTGTAAATTAAAAGAAAAGAATTAATCGCGAAATTGAATAATATTAAATAAGTATTAATGAAATCTGTGACGATTTCGAGCAATTTTTTATACGAAAATTGCTCGAAACCATTTGGGAATTTAAAACAAATTAAAATAAAATAAAATAAAAGATAATGTAAAATATGCAATCGAGAGAGAAAGAGAGAAACGGAGACATGACGCAATTTTATAACAGCTTTTCGTACGTAACGATCGACGTTATTGGAATCCGAAGAGTTCTGTCATCGATAGTGTTAAGCGTGATCACCGTTCCGGTCAGCGCCTCCCTCAGAAAGATATCGACCATCGTGTGCAAGTCCGAGCCCTCTCGCCGGAACGTTTCATGAGGCCGATCCTCCGTGACGAAGATAACATCCGCTACGCTGACAATGTCTTGGACTTAGTGAAGAAGATATCACCCCATCTTGTGTCTTGTGTCTTGTGCGTGTTACAATTAATCTTTAATCTTTAATCTCTCTTTAATCTTTATTCTATGGAACCCACATTTTCACGTGACGATAGTCGTAAATTGACCAGTCGTCTCATCTTTGATTGTATCAATTACGTGAATATATCTATTTCATTGTGTTTATTTTATATTATTTATCATTACTTTATTAATTTTTTTATTGTAAAAAGAATGTGGATACGTTATATGGAAAATATGTCTAATTATTTTTTGTATTTATGAAGGGATAAAATTTATAATACAAGGATTAAACTTTTATAACTTAAATTCTGAGGAATATCGTAATTTTTTTTAAATGTAGGAAACCGTTTGCTTTTACGATTAGTATAAAAATAAAATATGATGAAAAAAGGCGAAACTACGAGAGAGAGAGAGAGAGAGAGAGAGAGAGAGAGAGAGAGAGAGAGAGACAGCGCTACAAAGAAAATATTTTATTATCTGTTTTATTATCGCAATTGTATCGTAATACTCCAGAGTAATATTCCTAAGCGTAAGCCAAGCTCAAGAAAGATCAAGAAGGCAATGGAAGAACTTACCGGGTATCTTCGTAGGACTTTGATCACCCTCTTCTGGAAATACTATTCTGGTACCTGCTGGGATTCCCGGCTTAATGGGTATCGTCAAGATCTTCTCCATCGACGACGTCATCGACTTATCGTCACCGAGTAAAACCAACCTTTGGATCTTCATTTTCTTTATGCCACCGAAAAATATCTATGACGAAACGTTTCCAACTGCCCGATTACTTTATTAACTGCTAGATTATTTTCGTTTCTTACAAGATTTTTATACGTTAAACCATATGAAAAGTATATAATTCATGTTTAATTTGATTTTTATCTCTCATTTTGTATAAATTAAATCTTGAAATCAAAATTTGATAATGTTGTTAATAAAATCATACAGAGAAAAAAATAATCTCTGCAAATATAATTTGCAATTTTTTAATAATTTTGTGTCAACGAAAAATATACAAAAAAAATATAAAAATAATTACCTATAGTATATATTTATGTTCACATAATATAAATAGAATTGAAAGCCGGAGCAAAAAAATTTATAAATTTAGATCAGTTCTCACTTCCGAGAGAGTTAGAAATAAGGTTTTAATCAAGGGTTCTTCTTTCCGTTTTATACCCTGACCCTCGGGAAATTCAAATAGAGGTTGAGGTTCTGTTAGAATATTTAGAAGATCGTCGTACGGATTTTCAGTCGCAAAGAATTCTCTAATATGATAAAATTTGCGATGAGAACATTAACTTTCAGAATACTGAAAGTTTAATTTTAGGTGTAAAATTTATCGAATATTTACAATAAATATTTATTTCGGAAAATAAATATTTATTCTTCTCTGAGGAAAAATAAGCTTTAAATATGCATATATCTCATTGTGTGACAGTGTGCGTGCGTGCGCGCGTGTGCGCGCGCGTGCTTGTATATATGATGCCAATATTATTAAACTCAAAATACATAAACTGACAGCTCAATGGTTCTACCTAAAGGTTCGCATCGGCTCGCCGTGATAAACGTAAGGTTTCACGAATCTTTCTGATCTCGGTACACCATTTTTAAGACCCCCTTCGCCGTATTGATCATATACAGCCCTTCTAAGTGGATCCGAGAGCACGTCGTACGCTTCAGCTGCTAAGGCGAAAATCGCCTCAGCACCTTCGTTCTTTTGCCGCGCGGGATTGTATCGTATAGCACATTGTCGGTATCTGAAAGAAATAACTACACTATTTCGTCGGTGCGATGTCTCGTCTCTTTTTACCACCGTGTTTTACATAAATTATATAATTAATATAATATTGTAAAAGCATATATCTATGTAATATAATACTGCTGTAATACAGTAAAGACTGATATAATACTTCAGAATTTTTCGCAAAATATCATTTTGTATCATATTTTGTAAATATATTTTTAATATTATTGATAAAAATAAGTTGAGAGAGAGAGAGAGAGAGAGAGAGAGAGAGAGAGAGAGAGAGAGAGAAAGAAAGAGTGATAATAGGTTATTTAGAATTAATAGGAACCCTACTTTTACGTATTCCTATAAAAAAGATTATGCAGCTTACGCTTCCTTGATTTCCGTATTATTACAATTCCATCCCAACGACAAAACTTTGTAATAGTTTATGCCACGTTGGGTGCACATACATTTATCGTGTGACGCATTTATATTCAGATCACTCTTTGAAGTTTGAGAAACCATGCCGAAAAGTAATTGTGCGAAAAGAACCTATGCCCACATTTCTTTTGAAAAATGACGCTTAGTTGGAGCGAATGTCTTTTATTTCCTTCAGCATCGTTGATCGCGACAGAGAGATCAGCAATAAGACGATCGGAGCATCGTTTCGTATTTTCAATAACCGACGACAACGGTAGTCTGTGTTTGCGTGTCGACGTTTCACCATTATCAAGAGTTCAAGTGCATTCTTAGACGTGGATAACAATATACGAAATTGACACAACGGTTGGTTTCTCGACGGCGAGTCTAATCGACAAATTTTATCGCTATGGAGACTCGCGAACGTGTCTCGAATTTTGTCGTAAAAGGTAAACGTATATAATCGCGTTAGGTTTCTAAACATTTCATGACGCGACAATTGCTCGAAGCGCATGGCTAAACGCGTATTGAATAATGCAAAGCGTAAACTATCATAGCATGAAATATTCTAAAACAATTTAAGATATATATATATGTATATATGTATATCTCTATATATGAAAATGCTGTAATAATTTTATATTTAAAAATCAAGAAAGAGAAATTTAAGGAACATATCTTATCTAGAAATTATGCAGTTTTTAATAGTCAGACGACTATTAATAATATGGGATAATAATGTTTTGATTATAATATTATTAAATAATTATAATACCATTATATGTTTATGAATACTATTAAGGCTTGATGGAATATTACATCCTTCAAGGAGAATGATTTGAAATAATATGTTTTGTATAATGCGTTTAGATGAACCGATTGCTGAAATTTGTGAAGAAAAAGAATGCATTCGCTACAGCATCGATCGTGGAAAGGTCATCGTCGTGGTATCACCGACAGAGACAAAACCATTCGCTTCCAATGACCATTTGAAGAATAAGAAGATAAATAATAACATGAGCTTCCTAGACGTTATATCTCCTATGCATTCTCTCAAAGAGAAGAATTTCGACGACGACGACGACGACGATGACGACGATGACGACGATGACGACGATGACGACGATGACGACGATGATGATGATGATGACGACGACGACGATGACGACAACGACGACGACGACAACGACGACGACGACAAGGAGAATATGAAGATAAAGCATATTTCCAGTGAATCGAAGCAATCGTGTGGCAGTCGTGAGGTAGACAAGATTTTTCCTCAGCAACAGCAGCGGACGCAGGCAAATCGATCGCCGAGACGCAAAAGTACTAGTATTCCGACGTTATGCATTGATAACAACAAACTTGTGGATGCGACGGCGGCTGCAGGAGTTAAACGCAAGATCCCGAGACCGGCAAACGCTTTTATGTTGTTCGCCAATGAGTGGCGGAGGAAACTAGCTGCAGAGAATCCTCGGGAATCCAATAAGGATATCAGTGTCAGGTTAATCTTTCTTTTAAAAGATACATTTGTTTCTGTCGTATAAACATGTAATTTTTAAAGATTTTTTTTAATCTTGAAAAAATCAAAATGTAGGAAGAAAATAATTGTATTCAAACTCAAAATGTTTTTATACATAAATCGCGAATACTTGACTTGTTACTGAAGACGCTAAGAAATCTAAATATTATATTTACTTTCCTTTCAATTTATTTTCAGTTTTTTTTTTAAGAAATAAAACTTGTACGTGAAATAACAATTTGAAAATAAAGTGATTTTCTTTTGTTCTATATTTTTTAGGCTAGGTGTTTTCTGGAAAAACATGTCAAAGGATATAAAGGAAAAATATTTTGCACTGGCGCGTGAAGTGGACAAGGAGCATAAGAGAAAGTATCCTGGTATGTCCCTGTAACCTATAATATAGTTCTTTTATTTAATGTGACTTGATTTATACGCGCATCTGGATTGAACATCATTTTCTGATTTATCCGAACGTTCATGGAGGGTGCGATACATAGCTACGCGATGAATTATCGTATCCTTACAGTACAAAGAATAACGAATGATAGGAGGAAATAAGATAACGGGAAGAGAAAACATCGATAAAAATGCCTGGAATGTGTCGTGGACTATCGAGAGATGGCGGGTCTCTAAAATTAGAAAGTCTTGTTACTTCCACACCGCGTGCGCAACATCCCAAAGTGTGGGGCCATCGTTTATAAATAGCCAGGTTGAATTAGATATCGATCGCCGGCGATAAGTCTATCCGCGTTATCAGCAAACGAAAAGCGAGAAGCCACACCGCGCACCAGCGCTAACGTCTCATCCCATCCTAAATGATTGTCCTGGATCCAGATGTACACATTGCTTGGTCTCATCGATATCACTTGCAACGTGACATTAATTATCCCTATCAGAAATTATCCCTATCGGATACATTATGCTTATGTATTATGATTTATACAACGCCGTTGATTAATAGTATTGTAGCTAGAGATGCACCGGAAAGTATCCGGTATCTGGTATCCGGTATTATCCGACCGGATAGTCATCGGATATCATCAGTATCCGGGAATATATCCGGTTGAAATTAGATATCATTAAATTGTTGATTTTTTATTATACAAATGTTCTAAAAATAAGTGTATGCATGTTCATAATGTTATAATATCTTATACATTTTTGCAAAATTACAATTTTTTCTCTATAGGCTTTTTTTTAAGACATTTTCCTGGAATCCGGAAAATGTCGGATATCCGATTCGAAGAAATTGCCTTCTCGGATATTCGATGTTACATTTTATCCGGATATTCGATATCCGGTATCCGGTAATTTTACGATCCGGTGCATACCTAATTGTAACGCAAAGTAATCTTCGGTTATCTTTTTGGCTTATTATACATGACTGAAATGTCAGACCTTTAATAAAGTTGATGTTAATTGAGGGCGCAAGAGAGAAATCGGTGTCGCGGATCCGTACGATTTGTAGGTCGCAAATGATGACAACGACAGTGGCAACAGCGGCGGTAGTGACGACGTGCAGAACAGACAAGCGTGCAGAATGATCGTCGCGGGGGCGGCAAAGGGTGGACGCGGGAGGATGCGAGTTTTGCGGGTCGAGGTACAGGGTGGCGAGCGGAGAGAAATATTCTCGGGTGAGTGACGCGGGGAGAAGGCGCGGGTGGGAACGGCGGAGAGAGAAACCAGAGGTATTGATTCCGACGCGACTCCAGGAACCTGCCCGATACACGACCGCCGGCTCTACCTACCTACCTACCTACCTACCTACCTACCTACCTACCTACCTACCTACCTACCTACCTACCTACCTACCTACCTACCTACCTACCTACCTACCTACCTACCTACCTACCTACCTACCTACCTACCTACCTATCTACCTATCTACCTACCTACCTATCTATCTACCTACCTCCTGCCTACACCCACCGAGGTTGAACGCGCGAGCGAGCCAACTAGCTAGCGATTATGCTTCGTATATCCCGCGTTGCTACTGCGCGCATTCATGCGCGTCGCGCGAGAGAAATCAGGAACGTCGCCACAGTTGCTGCGGGCGCGTGCAAGCGTACTCGCGAAGTCGCCACCTCGCCAGGCGTCACCGAACGGCGAGCGGCGAGCGGTGCCGACTGACCCTCTAACTTTCAGTTGATTTCGCATATAGTACACTCCTCTGATTTTTCGCCAGTTACATCCGCTCATCTTCTCTTTCTTGCATTATAAAAATTACTGTAATGCCATATTTCGTCAAAGTAGTGTAAAATTGTATTTGTTACAACTTTATTAAATATATCCTACTGCAATTTTTCCAATCAAACAATTTCATGCGAAAAGGATGGAGAGAGAGAGAGAGAGAAAAATTAAAATATGTATTGTAAATATATATTTTTATTTTTTATTATAAGTTTTTCTCAGAAAGGAATTGCCGTGAGAATAGTTGGAATAGCCAATTTTTTAAAACTGATTATAGTTGCGTCGTTCGAAGGATAGTAAAGATAATTAACCCGTTAGATCGATACAGTTCAAATGGATCCTTGTTCTTTTCTCTGAACGAATCGCAAATTACCATATCACTAATACGCGCGATTAACTAATCATCCTACAATTTCACTACGCATTTCGTTTACATGTGGCGTTTTATTATTCACATCGTGATTAGCAAGTATGTGTGTATTTTCTTTCTTGACATAATAGAGTTTGAATTTCTTAGGGAGAAATTTAAAACCTGACAAGTATTGTTTAAACACAAATAACAAAAGAACGCCATTTTCTAAATAGCTAAAGCGGGTCTTGGTGCTTATTGTTAGTAGTATTCATACGTGAATAAACAAATATTATCAATTCTGTGCGTAAATTCGATTTTCCGGACCTGAAACATAATCATAAACTGAAATAATAATCTCACAACTGTGAATTAATTGAACGCCAATTTAATAGTAATACTACCAGCATCACAAAAGCCTGTAAAAATAACTTAAATATAAAATAAATAACTAAATATGAATATCTATACTTAAATAGGTATATATAAAAGTTTAAACATGAAAAACGTATATTTTTTATATATGACATCGATATGTTAGATAATCAAGTACGTGAAATGATTTAGTATTTAAATATCCATGCATAATATATCAGCTAAATGATCTGAATATGACACAAATATGACACAAACTAAAAAAATTGATTGGAAATATTTAATTTTCTTCGACTAGTCGCGCTTCTTGTATTTATCGTTTCTTTACTTACCACATAATATTAAATTTAATTTTTTATCCCCACCTTGTACATATTTTGATTCGCGTATCGTCGTGTTTCGGCTTCGACTCACTCACGACAAATATCGGCGCAATTTTCCCGTCCTCGTTTTCAACCGTCCGCCGATAATGTAATCGATGCCAATTTCAGTCTGGGCGGGTGTCCCGAGTGGTCAATTAACATCACCGGGAAGCGGCGGAGACGCGCCACCGCATCGAAGCGCCATCGGGCATCGACGGCGCGTCGCGGCGCGTCGACCGAATTCACGTGCATCTGCGCGCGTGTAACGCGCGGTGACCGCGGCAAGGCGCAAGGGGGTGGCTGGCAGAGGGTGGGCATAAGAGGAGAGGGGAAGCATGTGGGGTAGCGCACGGTAGGTCTGAGTAGGTCGCACCGAGAGAAGCCGTCAAAATGTCGAGGCCCCTGTATCCAGGCGGCACGACGCGCGACGAGCCGATGCGCGGCGATGGTACGAATGGAGGAGGATGGTGTCGCCGGCGCGGCGTGCACCGTGCACCGGGCTGATCGCCGGTCATCGATCCACCGACGTGCCGACTGCCGATAGGAGAGAGGGAGAGAGAGGAGAAAGGGTTGCAAAGGGTTGCAAAGGGGGGACGGAGGATTTGTTCGCCGATGCAACGAATTCGCGCAGATCGTGGGAGGATGATAACGAGAGAATATTTAATCGGCGCGGCGAGCGCACGGCGAAACTGATCGCGATAAAATCGTGCCTGCCGACGTGCGTAATAATTGCTCACGCAGCAAAAAGGTTGAGGAAGGTAATACTCGTCATATCAGCGCGATCGATAGATCATGGTCGCTTATTCATCGTGCTGGATAAACGCGCGACACGACTAATGAGGTGGGACGGGTGCATGTTTCTACGAGACAGACGGATCCGGAGGACGCGTATTCACCGAAGCATTTGCTCGACTAATGCGATATAGCCGTTTCGAACGAGACGA